ATGATACATGATGATGATGATATATGATAATGATACATGATGATGATGATACATGATGATGATGATGAATGGTTAAGGAGTTTCCTACTTCTTGAAGACTAATATCTTTACCTTTATATATGTGATTTGCAAAACATGATAAAAAAACATTGAGTCCTGCTACCTTGTCATTTATTTTATTATTACCTTTGTAGGCAAGAAAAGTGATCGAAGATACCATGAAAAATATCCACCCAATATACAATATTAAGGTGATTTGAATCAGGATAATAGATGATGGATGCTGATGATGATGGGTATGTTTGGTTATGAAGTGGTGATGATGCTATTGTTGATGATAAAAGTGATGAATTTTGATGATGGATGATATTAATGAAATGTTGTAATTTGTGGTGATGATGGATGATGATTGATGGTGATGATTAGGGAAGCATGGGTTTCGTATGTCGTATGTGAGCTTCAAGGGCTTTCCAGGTTCTCTGGTTTTCCTCCTCAAAAATCAACTACTAAATTCCAATTCGATCTTTGTGCTTTCACCTAGCATGGATCTGAGGGTTATTATTATTTATTATTATAGGGTTCCGTTCATAATTGTCCCACTCTATGATTACAGAGAAAACTGATAGATTTTGATGACAGATGATGATGATGATGATGATCTTTGTTTGATGTTGATAATGATCTTTGTTTGATATTGATAATGATGTCAATGAATAATGCATGATCTTATTTTCTACTTTCTCAGACCCTAATGATCAAAAGAGAGCTATCCAAAGATCCTAATTTGAAGAATGAATCATGGGATCGATTTTTGCCGAAATTCAAATCCAAGTCAGTCAAGAAAAAGAAAAAACCAACCAAGAAAAAATCCTACACACCCTTCCCCCCACAGCAGACAGAGAGCAAGGTAAGGGTTCCCATAAACCAAAAGTTCTTTCATCTGCTTAGCCAAAGTTATCCCATACATATTTTTCTTTTTTGTAGATTGATAAACAGCTGGCTAGTGGAGAATATTTCCTTAAGGAAAAAGAAAGAAGGTTAAAAGCACAAGAGGAACGAAAGGTATGTTGATGAGTTGAGTTTTTTATAATTATGATTGTTATTCATTTTACAGTATTCACTCCCTCACCTCTGATCGAGAACCTTATGATTTCTGATACTGTATCATGTGAATGAACTTAACATGATCAATACGAGTATTGTGTGTAAAATTTTTGCAGATAATCCATCCTTGTCAAGTTCACTCGGGTCATCTCAAAGATTAAAATGCTTTTGCTTTTTTTCCAAGCGAGAATTAAAAATTCACTTGTTCTTTGAATCGTTAGTTCACAAAATGTATAATAATTAACAAGTTGATGATTAGGCTGCTCACAGGATAATAATTATTCTCGACTTTCACATCCCCATAATGCCTTGCGTTTTTGGGGGGTAACCAATCAAAAACCTGTCCCAAATTGAAAGGTTTCTTAATTGAATTTATACTATACCTGCTTTTTATCTGTACAATACTGATTATCAGTTTATTCCAAGTTATTTTTCCGTGTACAGATCATGAAGAGTTTTGGTCTTACAGAAAATGTATTGACTTACGAGAAAATGTTTAAAATTTACCTTAAACGTCTTCAAGCTTCTATCTTTTTCTGGTTTTTACTTCTTCATTTTATCTTTGGATACCAAACAAGGTATTGTCAACATTGTCTGATCAGCCTTCAGCAAAATAAGTGGGTTTTAACCCTCTGGTTACCCCCCAAAGACGCAAAGGATTATGGGGATGTAAAAGTCGAGAATAAGTCGGTTTTTGCTAATTGTTTTTAAAATATTTGTAGTCAAAGCAGGCTGAAGCAGATGTTAAGAGGAAAGCAGCTCGTGAAAAAGCTTTTGTTCCACCAGTCGAAGAAACGAAAACAACATCAAAACCTAATAAAAGTAAGAAAGAAATGACTAATATTTTTTTACAAAAATATGTTATTCTTAAAATCTTATAATTTTTTGATTAATTTTCAGATGAGAGTGAAAAAATTGATATTGAAGCATTCAAAAAGAAAGTCAAAAGTGCACAGGTAAAGTAAACTGTCTGTCTATCGCTAATGTACCCCTAGTCGCTCAGCCAATCAGAGCGTATGATTTTTGAAAGAGTCTTAATAGACCATTTCAAAGATCTTGTTACTCAACCTCATCCTCGTCAGCGTGTAATATATTCTTTAGAAATTGCCTACAACCTGTGAAATTTTTAAGTGTTTCAATTGTTCGTTGATGTGTAAATTCCTTTCATTACTGCGGACTGTAGTCAAATTCTAAAGAATAACTACACGCTGAGGTTGAGTAACGGGATCCGTGAAATGGCCTATTATACCTTTTGTAATACTTCTGTGACAGAAACGGAAATCTACCACTTCAACTGCAACAGAGAAAGAAACCAAGAAACGAAAAGAAAAAAGATGACAAGAAACGAAAGAAGAAAATAACAGGCCAGATTAGAGCAGTAATATAGTGTTAACAATAACTAGAAGCATTAATAGAACTTACTCTTTCTATTAATGCTGAAAGGGAAATCTAGGTAGTGCATGAGTTAATATGTACCACCTAAATATCTAGATAGTTCAACTTTTTTTCTACAATATATATGTGGAAAAAACGTATGAAGTTTTGTAATGCAGACATGTTTGCATGGTCATGTCGCTAAGTCCAAACCAGAAAAACCTCTGGTTGAAGTTGAAATAAAATTGTTTTTAATGACTTTAAAAACAAAGTGTTTTTTTTAAATGAAAGGACGGCAAAAAAATTGTTAAGCGTTTATCGAAAAAGTTTTATAAATTAAAAAAAAAAAATTACGTATCAAATGCCAAATGTTCTATCAAGCGCGCGCGCGACCACTTTTATGAAAAGTTGACGAATTACGGAGTCCGTTGATTTCACTTCAAAACAAACCGATTATTTTTTCCGATTTTTCGACCAAAATATCTGTATTAGAAGATCTTCATGAAAAAGTTAAGGTGAGTGTTTAAAATAATATTAACATTTTGATGCTATCGCAATTCTATTGAGTTTGAAACTCAAATGTTCATATAGAGCTGAACTTGCAGAAATTTCAGATGTGTTTTGGTGAAAATATGGTTTGAAAAGTTCGTAGTTTTTAAGCTTTGAATCTTTTTTTATTTTACTTTTTTTAATGTAATAAGCGTACTTTTTTATATCTTTCTTTGTCGGAGTCTAATCAATCGCTTCTTTAAAATTTGAGAATTTTCGATTTTAAAAACGTCTGTTTTTTTGTTAGATAAATTTATGGATATCGTTGTTTATTACCAGAAAATGGCTCGAGCATCTACCCCGCAGCCTGGGATTCTCAATCTTCGATGTAATGAATACTGTGATGGTAAAGAAGCCGTGTTTTACTGCCCACAGTGTTCTGCTATGTTCTGTGATAGTTGCTATGATCGAGAACACGAAGGAAGCGTACGAAAACAAACACATGAAAGAGTCGTCGAAGTCAGACCAATCTGCCGAGAACATCAACACACCTTAGAATATTTTGATCTTACTTGCTTGAAGCCTATTTGTATAACATGTTTGACCAATCTGCAATCCAAAGAAGAGTATCAAAATCATGTTATTGAAAAAATCAATGATGTTTCGACAAAATTATGCTGCTTGCTTAGCGAAAAAGTAGTCGAGTCGAAAGCAGTTCTGAAGAGCGTTCAAAAAGCTGCTAAAAACACCTCGGAGACGACTAAACGAACGTTAAACATGGCAAAAAGAGAAGTACATGATATCATTGAACAGGGTAAAGGAATTTTGGACGAAAGAAGGCAAAGTATATATCGACGAATAAGTAAAGTACAGAAGGAGTTTTTAAGTAGGGAAGACTCGACGGCTGGATTGATTGGTTTAGCAAGCCGTCTAGAAGAAAATATCCAAAATGGTTAGTTTATCTTACGCTAGCTCTATAAGCTATTTACAGTTTCATTTATTCTTTTACTCATTTACTCACTTATTATTTAAGGTTAAAAAGCACCTATATTTCCATAGTAACCATAATTTCTTTTTGCTTTTAGCGGAAAGAGTTTCAGACGAAGGAAGGTTTATCAGTGCACAGTTCCCATATCTTTTCAACACACTCAATGACCTCTGTGCCTCGGCAAGAAGACACCTCGATAACCCCAAGGGGTTGAAAGTTACAGTGACCTTGTCAAAGGTTGCTGTTGCTAAGATCCTGAGTTTGGTGGATGTTGAAACTGCGGTGGTGTCTCCAGACGAGGTGCCAGTTAATGGTAAGTTGTATGCTGTATCTGGAAAATGATGATCAACCTTGGATTAGAAATTCCCCTAGATAAGTTAGTCTCGTCCGCAGCTCCGCAACCGTCATTATTTTCGGTCGCAGATCCTCACGGGCCCTTCAGGTCCCAAGCTAATGACTTCTGCAGAAGAGACTATAGAAAGGTAGATAATTTCAATAAGCCTGAAGCGAGATGACGTTTTACCACTGACTCTATACCATGATAGTTTTTAAAATTCTTTCATATTAAAATTTTTGATTCCTTAGAGAATACAGGAACAATAGTCATAATTAAAGAACAAAAGCAGTGTGAAAAGGATTATGGTCTAGAGACGGGGGTAAAACGTCATCTCGCTTCAGGCTTATTTGACATGTAAAATGAGGTTAAAACTTGTGGGTAATACATTCCTCCTGTGTCTGTGATACATTTCTTATCTATTTTTTGTAGAGGCAGAAGATGTCATCCAGAGTAATTGTGTGAGGGTGGTGATCATGTCTGATGACTCTCGCAGCCATTCTTATATCGCTCGAAATCCTATAACAGTACGAAACATAGTAGGTGTGGTCAGACCAGACTCGCAAGATAGCCAGTCACAGGATGAACGAACAGAAAATATAATGCAGATGTCTCATGTCCATTCTAAGACTCTGACAACAAGTAACCACGGTAACCAGATTGAGGAGTTCCAAGGTCCTGGTATCCATAGTAATCGGACTGAAGTTCTCGAAAGTCATGATCTTTATTGTAAACAGGAAAACGATATCGGGAGTCCTGGTAACCATAGTAACCAGGCGAATGACCTCGAGAGCTGTGATCTCTATGGTAACCCACAACAAGAAGATATGGAGACTCCTAGTAACCATAGTAACGAGTCTGAAGTAAACGAAAGCCCCGATGTCTATTATAACAATAAAGAAGATATTCAGAGTCCGGGTAAACAGCCTGAAGAGCCCGAGAGTCCTTGTGTCCATGGTAACCTGTTTGAGAATATTCAGAATCGTCGTATCCATGGTGATTTGACTCCTAAAAATCACAGTATCCCTAGTAACCAGGCTGAGGACTCCGAGAGTCCTGATAACCATGGTAACCTGTTTGAGAATATTCAGAATCGTCATATCCATGGTGATTTGACTCCTAAAAATCGCAGTATCCAGGGTAACCAGGCTGAGGACTCCGAGAGTCCTGGTCACCATGGTAACATGTTTGAGAATATTCAGAATCGTCGTATCCATGGTGATTTGACTCCTAAAAATCACAGTATCCATAGTAACCAGGCTGAGGACCCTGAGAGTCCAATTGCTCGTGGAACTGTTAGGAGTGGGATGCCCGACAGTCCTTGTATCCATGGTAACCATCACGTGACAAAGAGAGTTTCCAAAACTTTTGGAACATCGCAACATGTGAAGTTGAACAGCACTCATAAAAAGAGTAAAAGAGGTAAAAATAATACTACTAAGATGACTGTAAAACATGCATTATAATAGAATCAGCATTTTGAAGGTACCAGAGAGAGCAATCTCAGTCAGTTTGAATTAATCTAAATTCTTGAGTTCCCCGTAGTCCTAAGTGGTCCTATATATTACCTACTGCGTATAATTCAGCATTACCCTTGCCCTACCCAGGCATGTGATAAAACTCGTGAGTAATTCTAAAACCCTCATAGCGAGTTGATTCGACAGTCCTTATTCCCCCTACCCCACCCCTGAAAATTTAAGGCCTTTTTTCTAAAAGCTGTTTGTMTCGATTGCATTTCTTTTCAAAAGGAAGGAAAAGAAAAAAGAGGCCTTCAGAAGACCATGAATGGACACCTACCAGAATACTTCGTCCAAGTACTATGGAGAGAAGGAAAGAGGGGACTGTGGCGAAACCAAGGTCAAGAAGAGGAGGTGAACTGAGTCAAGAAATGAATGTGAGTAAATGACCGCCATGTCTTGAGGAGTCACTCTCGTCTACTTTGCTGAATCTATCGCAGGACGTTATACTTGGGTTCTAGAGCCTCTTTCGTTCCAGTCCTCTGTTGTCGTTCCTCCCCGTCAGAGGGAAACCCTACAAYCGGAAGCAATGAATATTGCGATCACGTCTTTGGCTTTGGCTTTGTGGAATCTACAAATGGCGAACAAAAACATCCATTTGTCTTCGCTACCTTTGATCATCCAATCAAAAAGTAGATATATTGTTTTTCTTAAAGCCAATCAAATTGCGAGAATTTGTAGGGTTTCCCTGAGCCACTGACGGGGAGGATCTGAGAACGAGAATGGTCCTCGGTCGTGGGAATRTCAGAACTTATGACCGAGAAGGACTGGAGCAAGAGACCCTCTTCAATCCATGACATTGACATTGACATAGGCATAGTAAATTTATACTAATACTATTTCTCATCGTGCAGCGATGTGATGCGATACTAACAATACTGTGGGCTGATGAGGACAGCTGGCCGTTCGTACACCTCGTTCACAAGAAACGCGTAAGTCTTTTTACTTGCGCATAGACCACTTGCATTTATTTCCTGGAGAAATTGTCCTGGGGGACAAAACGATAGGCCATCTTTTCTTATGCAAAAAAATCCATTGTTTGTTTTGTCCACCAGAATATTCCTCTCGGGACTCGTGCAAGTAATCTATAAGCAGCGAACAGGGAGTTTCATCTTGTTTTTCTTTTTTATTCTCCTTCACTAACTAATGCAGGGGAATCGAGGGTGGTGTAGTGTTAGTGCACTCCCCTCTCACCTATGGAGTCTAGGGTGTTATTCCTGGACTCAACATCACATACATTAGAGGATCAAGAGTGGTGTAGTGGTAGTACACTCGCCTCTTACCTCTGGGGTCTCAGGGTTGATTCCTAGATTCAACATCACATACATTAGTGAATCAAGGGTGGTGTAGCGAAAGTGCACCTCTCACCTCTGGGGTCTCAGGGTTGATTCCTAGATTCAACATCACATACATTAGTGAATCAAGGGTGGTGTAGGGGTAGTGCACTCGCTTCTCACCTCTGGGGTCTAGGGTTTGATTCCTGGACTCAACATCAGATACATTATTGAATCAAAGGTTGGTGTAGGGGTAGTGCACTCACCTCTCACCTCTGGGGTCGAGGGTTTGATTCCTGGACTCAACATCACATACAGTAGTGAATCAAGGGTGGTGTAGTGGTAGTACACTCACCTCTCACCTCTGCGGTCTAGGGTTTGATTCCTGGACTCAACATCAGATACATTAGTGAATCAAGGGTGGTGTAGTGGTAGTGCACTCACCTCTCACCTCTGGGGTCTCAGGTTTGATTCCTTGACTCAACATCACATACATTAGTGAACCAAGGGTGGTGTAGTGGTGGTGTACTCCCCTCTCACCTCTGGGGTCTAGGGTTTGATTCCTGGACTCAACATCACATACATTAGTGAATCAAGGATGGTGTAGTGGTAGTGCACTCCCCTCTCACCTCTGGGGTCTCAGGTTTGATTCCTARACTCTCCATGACATGTGAGTGGACGTTGTTGTGTGTGTTTATATGGGTATCGTCCTGTCTTCCCTTACTAAACCATCTGGCGATTTGAAAAAAGGCAAAATTGACAGCCTTTGAAGGAGAGTGAAGTAACTTTTGTATTTTAATTTTACTACAGTGTCCAGAGTATTACAAGAAAATCAGCAAYCCTGTAAGTCTTGATATCATCAAACAAAGACTGCATTCCTATCAGTATCGCTCTGTCTTGGACTTCGTACGGGACTTCAACCAGATTATTCAAAACTGTCACGTGTTCAACGAGGTAAAAACGCTGGAAGGGAGAGGAGGGTGGGGAGAGGAGGGGAGGGGGACCTTTGGGAGTTAACATCATCAAACAAAAACTGCATTCCTAAAACTGTCACGTGTTCATCAAGCTAAAAATGATGGGAGGGAAGAGAAGGGCGGAGACTGTATTCCTAAAACTGTCACGTGTTCAGCAAGGTAAAGACGCAGAGAGGGTAGCCTGTGAACCTTGGGGGATTGCTTGACTACGATAATGAATGGTAGAGGAAGGGAAGGATCGAGAAAAACGGATAATTTTTAAAAATCATTTTCTTATTTTTTTTTTCCAGCCTGACAGCGATGTTCACCAAGCAGGCTCCCGGCTGGCACTGCGATTCAATAATCTTCTACGAGAATGTTTCCCTAACATCGAAAGTGTCTTCCCGGACCAGGAGTTGATGGACTCAAGTCTCTGAAGCCAAAGTAACCAATAGCAATCTTGATAGGTAGTCACGTGTATCTTCCTTGGTATCACGTGACTATTTGTCATGATAACCAAATACCACGTGTCATCTTCCTTTATCACGTGGATTCATGTTATTATTCTGTCAGTAGTACGTAAAATTTGAAAGCTTATTAACATAATGCTATGACAACCAAATACCACATGTCATCTTCTATTAAGTGGATTCATACGTCATTCTGTCACTAGTACTTATAATTTTTAAGCCTATTAACATATTGCTATGACAACCAAATGTTACCACAACGACTAATCAAGCATTACTTTTCGTATCGAGCACCTTTAAGAAGCAGAATAAATGGAAAAAAAATTCGAAAAAAAAAACAAACTAAAAAAATAGAAACTTTTTGTAGAGGAAAGGTTCGACGTACGGCTTGCTAAAATACTTTCGCCTATCAGAGCATTAATCCAATGTATCCGGTTTAGGATTGGCTGATAATCTATGCAAAGTCGCTTCAAGGAAACGGCGCCACAATGGCGTCATCGAGGCTCTATGAGTGACGCACAGTCTCTAAGCATAAGGACGCTTGAGGCACGTCATTGTCGAAATGTCACAAGTGAGCTTTATCGACTCAAGGATATTTAAAAACGATTTATACAGTGTTACATAAATTCTGTAAGTTTGACAGAAGARTGTCGAAAATATTTCGATAAAGGTGGCGAGGAACGCCTGTCATTTATTCTTTCCACCTGTTTCTGCCAAGCGCATGCGCAAAGCATTATTCTTTAAAATTTGAAAGGATTAATTTGGTTTGGTGTGTCTGAAGCAGTTCTCGTTCTCGTCACTTCGGTTTGTTTACGAAGATCAAATTTGTTTTCCTTTCYTTGTTTCTTCCTTTTTTCTTCGTTTTCTTCATTTTTTCATCCTTTCTTTTTCTTCCTTTTCCATTGATCCATATACTATCTGGTTTTCTTGTGTAATTTCTGCCCACAACCTGGTCTTGTCTACTCTTCTCTCAAGCTAGCAAGGCTAGCTTAAGGAGGTCAACCATGCGCCATATTTCCCGCGGAGTTTCTCTCCATCACTGAATCGTTTTAAGGGCATTTGTTTTACGAAGAAATCCAAACMAGCAGTAAAATTGCGGGCTTTTGAGCTTCGTCGTACCTCGGCTACACATGCTGCTTTTCTTTCAATCTTCATTGTTTTCCTCCCATATTTTGTGACGTTTCCACTCAATTTTGCTCTTTCAATTTCCTTTTTCATTTTCTTTTTTCTCCCATATTTTGTATCGTTTCCACTCAATTGTGTTCCCAATTTTCTTTTCTTTCTTTTCCCCATGTTTTGTCTTTTCCGCTCGTTATAAGCCGCTAAATATGCACATTGATTAATCTCGTGCAGTGCTTTTGGTCAAGCAACTAGACTGATAATCACTGACAAGATATTTCTTTTGTTTTACCGCAGAATGTGTTGATGTCAAACAGTATCTGATAGAACGTCGATAGTAATCCACACGTAGCTAAGACTAAAACAAAATAGATTATTCTGGAAGGCTATGAGATTTCAGACAAAAAATCCTTCAAATGTCTGCTCGTTTGAAGTGATTGTGTAAATAGTATGATATACGAGTGCGTTCAAATAGATAACCGGTTTGACAATTATGAAATCTGTTTTCGTCCAGACAATGCCACATTGATTCTTGATATTATTTAGCGTAGCGATAATGGAAGAATGATTATTCAAAGCTTCTTCTCTTTGAGGTCAAAAACTGAAACCTATGGGAGGGGAGGGCCAGTATTTAACTGTTAATTATTGTTACGTCTATGGTCTTTCTTAGTTTTGCATTGGCGTCTTTTTTTTTTCCCCTTTCTTCGTTTTTCTTTCTTTGTTTTTCTTTCCTTTTTTCTTTCATTCTTAATTCTTTCTTTCTTTATTCATTTTTTATTCCCTGCTTGCCTTCATTTCWTTCGATAATTCTTTCCTCCTTCTCTCTTTCTTTTCCTTCATTCTCGCTGTCATGCTGGAAACGCAAAACAACAGGCCATTTCTTCTCAGAAAGACCACTGTACGACACGTTGATCTAGCCCTAGGACATTCCTATTTTAGCTTGTGGACAACAGCGTGTAATGATAATTTTTTTCCCATGAGATAAGTACTACTAGAGGTTCTTTACTCACTCGGTACATTATATATCCTTTGCTATCAGGCTCTGGTTATCTTTTACAGTTCATATTCTTATAAATATGTCGACCCTTCAATGAATATTTGACTCTATCATTGTGTTTCCGACTGATACAAAAAGCCTGATGAAAAGATGATTTTCTCTCTGTTTTCCTTTGATTTTTCTACTTTTCTCATTTTCTTTCCAAAGATATCGATTGTTGTGGTGACGTCACATCTTTCACGTGACTTTTGCTGATTGGTTTGTTTAGCCACGTGATCTTTGGGACCTTAATGGCCTGTGACTATTGGYTCATTTGATCGCGTGACATTGCCAAATCAAAAAATATATTTATTTATTCAAAATTTTATAACGTTTTTCTTGATATTATTMGCGGATAAAATGCATTTTCCTGTTAGATAGAAAAGAAGATTTCTTATGTTCTTTTAGACTATAGGTATTGTGTCTGTAGTTAAAACTCTTACTCCAATGGTAAGCTGTTTTATCAAACCGGAAAGATCTTTAGATAGCGTTCTAAGATGAACAAGCTTGAAGATGTGACAACTCTTTAGAACAATTTCTCTAGAATCCTTTGTCTTTTTCTTTAGTTTCCTTTTTTCGTCTTTTTTCTTTTTGATGTTTTGTTCACAATATTAAAAGGTCTGGGTTTTTCCTTTGTGTACAAGAAGACGATTTTTTCGTGATTCCCCTAAACTCTATTATTTTAGTAAAAGCAATATTATTCCTTCTTTAACACAATTATTTATATTGAATTTCCTCTATTACGTTTTCTTGTTCCTTGGGTTCATTTCAAATACCAAACAGTTAATTCCTTCCAGTTATATTTGCTTTTAGAAAACTCGATATTGGCCAAAGTAAATCCACAAGGGGTTGTTAATAAGATATCAAGCGCATGGGCTCATGGTCTGTCAGTCGATGCAGCACTTCAATTTAGCTGTCTAATCTTCTGTAAAGGATTCTCTTGGCTGTCGTCTTACTAGAAACTGAAGAGACAAGGATTACAATGTAAGGAAATTCGACAAAAGGATTTGAATTTCTAGCGCAGTGATTTAAAGAAGATGCTGAAAATCCTGCTCGTTTTAAGAGAAAAAAAAAAGATTTTCCCTRGATCTTGAAAACAAAGTTTCCTTTCTGGGAGTGTAGGAAAAGAGGCTTGACAGAAGTTCAAAAGACTGGATTATTGTTATTAAAAAGAAAGAARAAAGCACGCAAAGGACACTGTGCAAAAGAAAGCTGTCAATATCTAGCCTGCGGCACAGGGAATAAGAAAAACAGTTTACTCGTTGAGCTGACAATGGAACGGTGAATTAACACACAGAGAGAAAAGCTGCAACTCAGAGGATTGAAAAACAAGGTTCAAGGAAATTCTTGAACTCAAAGTTACAAGACGTTCTGCAGTTTTCAAGGCTAAAAACTAAATCAACACACGAAAAGAAGAAAAACTTGAAATATATTTCAGTGGTTAAACCCAGTGTGGATAAAATACCAACTTGGCACATTGTAACATTAACTTAAAACGACGTATTGCATGAGAAAAGGCGGGAAAGGACAATAATTGACAGTGGAGGAAGGAAATGCTTCAAAGGTTCAACAAAGTGCTTTAAACGTAAAAAAAATCCTTGTAAACTCCTTGGCTTCACTTAACTATGCGGAAAGAAATTCTAAGGCGTCTTCAAACATTGACAGATTTCAGCAACGGAATTCAGGAAATGGATGCAAGGAAAGTGGGTTGATAGAGAAGGAGTGTTTTTAGAGAGARAATAGCTTGTGTAATGCAAGATATCATGCACTCCTCAATCGGTTTGTACATTGCCGTCGGGTTCGCATTACTCGTGGTATTCACTGGAGTAGTTTTTAATATCTTCATCGTGTTCATCATATTTAAGACCCCACGAATGAAGGGAGAAAACCACGTCYTGATTGCAAATCTCGCCATTGCAGATCTTCTTCAGTCCTGCAATATGATTTTTATGATTTTAACTCTGTTCAATGGCGGACGATGGATGCTCAATCACATCGCTTGTCAAATTAATGCTTTTCTCATAATGGAATTCTTACTCGCGGCCATGTTTACTATAAGTTCGATAAGCGTGAATCGTTACGCGAAGATCGTGAAACCACGTTGGTATTCTCGCTTATTTAACGACAACACCATTAGTAAAATTATCCTCTTAATATGGACTTTGCCTCTGGTATTGGCCATTCCACCCCTTCTAGGGTGGTCTAAGTATGAATTTGACACAGGCAAGTGTATTTGCTTTTTCAAGGCGGGTCACGTGGGTTCGTACGGTCTGACCGTGGGAGTCGTTACCATAGGAATCAACGTACCAATCATAATGTACTGCTATTTCTGGGTTTTCAAAGTCGTCGGAGTGCATTCGGATCGAATGGAAAAAATCCGAACCCGACGATACTCCGAACATTCGTCGAATATTGAAGAAATCCGAATCACTCGGACTCTTTTAGTTGTCATAGCAACATTTTTGTTGTGTTTCCTGCCTGGGACTTTGGTAGTTGTGATTCGAGTTTCTGTTCCTGGTGCATTTATTCCGGATTGGGCGGAATTGATGTGTGCGCTGCTGGCGTTTGCAAACCAAGCTATCGACCCAGTTATTTACGGGTTCTTTAATTCACAGTATAGGCGAGCCATAACCCAATTATGGACCAGGCGACTTGCCAGACAAGGCCAAACCAATGTCTCAGCTGCAGAAGCTCATGTACAGAATTCTGTTACCATCCACGGTAGATACTCCGTGGGTGGTGCTCTTTTGGTGTTGTTTATTGCGACGGAGAATGAGTTACTGCGACATAACGCAACCATGAAGGGTACACCTGTTCCTGGGGTGGCTATGCCGGTTATGGGAGTAAAGCGACGAAGAACATCAGCATCTGAGCTAAAAGAAGCTTTGAATGAGGAGAGTGATAGCTAGCGGTGGCTCCTCGCTGTGATTGGTGTATTTATATTTACTCGTTATCATCATCATCGTCTTTCATGTATCATCATCATGTATCGTTATCAACATGTGTCATCATTATCATCATGACCATCATCATCCTCATCCACATGTATCAGCATCAAGTATCATCATTGCCATCATCATGTATCATCATCATCATGTATCATCATGTATCATCATCAT